GACATGTGCCCCCCCCCCCCCCCTTCTGCTTTGTCTTCGTCTTCGTCTTTGGTAGAGAGGGAGAGAGCCAACTGAAAGGGGTGAAAGAGAGAGAGAGATATGAGTTTCTATACTCAAAGCAAAAAATTTTCTATTCTATTGGTAAGGAGGATTGAAGTCAAAACCTCATTAAATCCCTTTATCATTCATGCACGTTTTTTTTTTTGATGTTTTCAAAAATATCATTTTGGATGTTTTCATATTTTAACTTTGTTTTTAAAACAAAACAATTAAAAAAATAAAAATATTCACCANTGATAAATTTATCCCTCATGAATATTTTAATCATGACATGAATGATTTGTCTCTGATTGAATCAAGAAAAGAATTAATCCAAATACACTTAAATCGGTACGAACACTTTGACGGTTGAAAAAAAACAAAAAAGAAAGAGAAATAATGATCATGCCATCAGGTACAAAGAGTGCAATCACAGCACTAGTCTTGTCCCAGAAATGGCTAGAATTTTCTTGGGCCGAGGGGAAATTGTCAACCTAAGCTTGGTACCCATTTAAAATGATAATGGTTCAGGACCAAATTTCCGAGATTGGGCTTTATTATGACCCAACTTGAATTTGGGTGGTCAAAAGAAGCCTCACACAAAATGAGGTGCAGGTGCAGACCCAGAACTAACCTTAATCTATATATGACTAATTAAATTCGACATGAAAACGATATAAAATTAGTGCATTAAATTTAGTCTTCTTAAATTTGGGTGATATACGGATGAACTCGTCAAACTCATCCAAAAGATGGGTTTACACAACTCGGTTAATACAAGACTTACACTGACATGAACCCGATCATACAATATAAGCTGATCAGTTTTTAACTTGACCGAATACGACATACACGATTTAAGAATATGATTAAAATTATCTATTGACAGCTCTACCATTGGGCTTCTGGTTAACAAGAATTTGATAATTGCACTTAAAGTGTGTTTTTCCCTCCCAAATTTAGTCTTATTACTAAATGAGTCATATCGAAAATAATTTTTTAGTATTGCATCTCCTCGTTTCACCAATAAAAAAAGAAAGTGTTAAATTTATTTATTTTAATCCTATTACCATCTACATTATAATTAAGTCAATGACTAAAATTTATTTTTATACTTTTCGTATTTTTATCCTGACCTATCATAGAGTCGTTTTGCATCGAGTAAACTAAATAAATAATCCTCAAATTATGAATTTTGTATTAATTAAATTTTTGAATTTTTTTTTTTATGTTAATTGAGTTTTTGAATTCTTTAATTGTGTTAATTGAGTCATTACGTTTACCTTCATTAGAGTGTGTTACTCACGTGACTATATGAAACAAAAAGATAAAAATGTTCAATTAACAGAATTAGAGAGTTTAGGAGTTCAATTGACACATAAAAAAAATTCAAAGATTTAATTGACACAAGAGTCATTAATTGAGGACCATATGTATAATTTAGTCCATTATGTGACACACTTCATCACTTTTCGTTAAAAAATCTAACGGAGACAGATAAAATGATTCAGTTGACATAATTAAAAATTCCGAAGGCTCAATTGACAGAAAAAAAAAAAAAAATTCAAAAACATGAATAATAATTTAAGGTGTGTTTGGTAACGTTTTCGTTTTTATATTTTTTTTATAAAAAAAACAAAAATTAATTTTATTTTTTTGGTGATAAAAATAAAAAATATATAACATGTTTGGTAGTCATTTATATTTAAAAAATTGTGAAAACAAAAATAAAAAACTTGTTTGGTATTATACCAAAAATTCACCACTTAAACCCCACCACCCAACCCTTACTGACCACCCAAAACCATCACCCAACCCCACCACCGAAACCCACCCCCAACCTCACCACCGAAACCAACACCACTGACCACCGAAAATCACCCTACTGACCACCACCAAAAACCACTACCCAACCCCATCCTTGAAAACCTACGCCCAAAAACCCCACCCCCACCATCGAAATCCACTACCCTAATGCCCCAAAATTCACCACTTATTTAAATATATAGACAATATACATAAATTTAGGACTTGAGAAGGCAATTAAGAGAGGCGATGACATGTTCCCCCCCCCCCCC